CAAGTTCATCATCTTCTCCTGAGAGGAACAGAAAGAGAAGTCGTTCTAGATCTTCTTCATCTGGTGATCGCAAAAAAAGACGAACAAGATCACGGTCACCCGAAAGGTTTGGGTTTCTGTAGAAATAAGAATGGGTGTTCTTAAATGTGTTTAATAGATAAACTAAACTTCCTAGTCAAGGGTTAGCTTTTTATTATCTCCTTTGTTCCAACTTTAAATTATACTTTTCAACTTTGAACTTCAAAAATCAGATTACTTTATTTAGTCTTTATACTTGGATCAGGTTGTTCAGTATAGTTACAGATCAAACCATTCTTTGATCATTTTATTGTTTAAGTTTTTATTTCCATACATAGTTACTATAGCCAACTCTCGGTTATTTCTGTCTTTTAAGATTGCAATTCAGAATGTGTACTTTGAAGTAATTTTATAGCTTGATTTTTATATTTATGCTATTTTAAATTTAATTAGAAATCAGGAATTCTAGGGCATCTAATAAAAAGTTAACTTTCAGATCACTGGAAATCTGTCCTCATTTAAAAATGTGTAAATGCATTTCCACAGCAAATTATTTCATACCCTTTATCTATAAGGAAATTGTTCCTTATAGCCAATACATTTTTCATACTGCAGTCCAAATCTTTTTTTTTTTTTGAGAAACACCTTTATGAGATTACTTTGTCTATATTGACATTTTTAAAAATTTGAAAAGTGCAGCAACAGGCTAATTACTCACTTTCATTAACTTTCTTGGTTCTTAATGTCTAATTATGTAGTCATTTGAATGGCTTCATTTGTAATCTTTGCAAATTTTCCATATCCTATTAGCTTGTGAAAGTAAAGATTATGTAATGTCTGGTAATTTGCTTGGTTCAGTGGTAGGATTATCTCATGATTCCTACTTGTACAGAATTAATTTTGCTTCTTCACATTTTAAAGTTTAGATACTAAGATTACACTTAATTATCTTGTTTCTGTGCATTTGTTTCTTTGTAAGAAAATTACTCTGTATTTGAGTGAAATTCATTCTGTTGCTTTCTTACTACTTCTGCAAATTTTTATCTTAGCCACATATAATCCCCCTAGTTTGTTGTCATCTAAACTTAATGAACATGTTCTCTATTCCATAAGCCAGGTGATTGGTGAAAACACTAAACAACCCTGAGCCCAGGGCCAACCCCTACGGAACACCACTACTTTACCCAGGTTGATATTGACTTATTCATATTAGCTGCATGAATATAACCCTATAACTAATTGTACCATCATCTTGTGTGACCTAGATTTCCAAAACTTAATTATTTATGAATATATTTTCTCATACACGGTCAGAAGCTTTGCTGTTTCTGTTTTACGTATAGATTACACTTTCTACAGTGTATCACAGAAATTGGTTTAGTCACACTTCCATTACCAAGTTTATATGACTTTGTTATATATTATCTGTAATTTTATGCATTTTTGCAGGCTTTTCTTCATTGTCTTAAATAATTGAGAGGTGGCTATATTTTGAAATGAGAAGATATTTTTAAATTGTAGAGAGTTTTAAGTTCCACTTATGCCATTAACGGGTTCACATCCAAAGTCTAAACACCAGATAATTTTATGTGTGTAAATTTGTATCTTAGTTTTTAATTACTCATTTTGCTAGCATCAAGGTATTTAATATTTTATATTTTCACAGTCTTAAGAATGAATGCTGAAGTTCAGCTCTAGCTTACTAGGTTGCCTGCTTTTTCTATTATGTCTTACAGGCGCCACAGGTCATCTTCTGGATCGTCCCATTCTGGTTCCCGTTCAAGTTCAAAAAAGAAATAATGTATTAAAATTTACATCAAAAAAAAAATCCAGTACAGTGCATGAAGCATATTTTTAAAGAAGTTGGTGTCATACTTGGTCAGAAGTGCTAAATCTGCTAGTAGAGGTGCATGCCTTTCATTGCTTTTCAGAACAATACAGCTGTGTTTATTTGTAAAGTTAAAAGTAAATAGCATTTTAAGCCATAATGTCCCAAAATAGATGCTCTATTTATCATTTATTATTTACAGCCATTTGCTTCATTCATCAACCATCTCAGCTGTAACAAAGTACTTTGTTTCCTAATTTAAACTCTTGTTTTTCTCATTTCTAAATATATCCTATTGGCTAAAACAGGATTACCAAGGCTTGTCCAAACTTTGGGCATGGAGGCAAGACTGGTAAACTTGTTGGAAACAAACTTTTTATGTTAATGTGGTAAAAGAAGTCTACCTGTTTATGTTGTTAACACATGTTAAAGTTATTCTTACCAAAAAAGGTCAAACTGAGTTTAAACAGCTAGCTGGAAACTTCTTTATTTTTAAATTCCCTATGCTAAGGGTGCCTTAGAATCATTGTCTCTCTTTTATCCAGCTGTATTTTTTTTGCACCACCACATTTAATGCAAAAGAATCTTGTGAATTGCTGAAGGAGAAAATGTCATTTTCCTTTCTGACACATAATTTGGGGCAAGAAAGAAAGCCTAACATTTCATCTCTTCTTTATTGGTATGGTTGCCAGAGAAGAGAAACATCTTATTTCAAAACATTTATCAATATTTTAAGAAGCTTTGTGTGATATCCTTTAAAGTCCAGTTATCAAATATGATAGGGTAAAAAGGCTAAATCATAGTTAATGAGAAAATGTAAGAAAGTTTTTGAATTATATTTCTCTTTTGATGAAAGGACAACACAGACATTGTGAATTTAAGTGAACATTCGCCTCTCGATTTACTATAAACACATTGCATAAAATTTTCTTCTGAATAACAAATGAATGCTTATTTCTATATACTGTAAGCAAAAATCATTTTTCCTATTCACTTGAAATAACTTATGGCTTAAAATGCTTTCAGAGTTTGTTTTATTTTTGAAAATTAAAATCTGGTCACTGAACTCCATTTTGTTTTCTGGTTTAAAAACAAAAAGGTTTCTCTTAACAGTATCTTCAGTGACAATGCAAGGTAAGTATATTAAGGGAAATCAACAATTGTGCTTGTGGGCTTTTTGTTATGGGGATATTGATTTCTTTTTCTTTTCCCTCAACATTGTCTGCTGCAATTTGAATAAAAATTAAAACATTTTAAGGTGTTTAGTAGACAGACCAAACATAGTTATATTTGTTTTTTATTTTAAAGTGTGTTTTTCTCTTCAACTGATCTAAAGATGAAAGCAGAATATCTTATGTAGAAATATTTTGATAATATTTTTACAATAAGCTTTCTTGTGTTTTTTATGTCTTAATTTTTTTGCCGCGTTTACTGTAGGTTGCACAAGAACTTTTACTCTCTTGTAATTGTGCCTCAGACTTTTTGAAAGTCTACCTTCTAAGTTGCCCAGATGATCCTCTAGATTCTACATGTTACCATTGGTTTATTCTTGTGCTTTCTGTATTTAAAATTTTGGCTGTACTAAGCAAATGCAAGGTTATAAATTTAGCTAATAGTAGTTTACAGACAATTCAGATGATTATGATTTCATTTGGTTTAACTAAGCTGTACTAGTTCATTTCGTAAGGAAATGATGCTGTAGACAAATGTAAATAAAGCCTGTGAGTCAAGCATCAAGTGGTGTTTGTTAGAAATAAGCTAGAGATTTTTAAGCTTTGATCTAATGTTCATTTTTAAGCTAATTACAGTTTTGTTTGTTACTTTTGACTGTTCATTTTTTTAAGCTCTGTATATTCATTTACCCTTTATATATGAGTGCTTGGTTTAAAACATTACAAAACCATAATCACTGCAGCCTTGGGTACTCAGAATTGTTAGTTAGGACTTTTTGACTCCCAAGTCAGTTGAATAGGTATGTAACAACATACCTATTCCACATGGTGAAATAGCATATCACAGTGCCTTTGCTGAATTACTCTTAAACTGTCACTCTGTAGCACTCAACAGCCGTCCAGTTAACTGCTAAGTTTTCTTAAGTTTCTATTTGGAATCTATTCATCTAAACAATATTGAACGATATTTGGTAATGTCTAAGTTTAGAGCAAGCTCTAAATACAAGACCATCTCTAGGCCCAATTTCTAAGGTAAATGAGGTGTTTGTTTACCATCTCATATCCCATTCTTGCTATCTTGTAGGGATTTTCTGTACTCTGTCCCCTATTTTTGATGTAAATGTTAAATGTTTTTTAAATAGAAAAACCCTCACAGTTTTCCTGACCTGGAAATTGTATTATTTTGTTTCTGAGAAATAGAGTGAACAGTTTTAATTAACAGTTTAATATATATAAAACAAGTGATTTACAGACATTATCTAATTCCTAGTCCTGTGTGGGTATATACTATTGCATATCTGCTGTTTTACAAAAAGGGTTTCTGTACAAGGAAATTAAAAATCTGCACAAAGAAGCCACAGGAGTAGCTAAGTGGGAATTTACCCCCAAATGTGAAAGCAAATTTCAGCGTTAGGTCTGATTAAAATCAAGTAACCTCTTTGAGAAAATCAATGTGAAATCATTAAGCCACATGGTCAGATGTTCTTTAATCTGGTAGTTTGGTGGAGAAGGTATAATTGTAGTCATTTATAAGTAGGTAGCTAGGTAGTATTTTGAAATAACTTTAGAATTACAGAAAAGTTGCAAAGATTGTACAGTGTTCTGGTATGCCTTTCCCCAGTTTCCACTATCATTAACATCTTACATTATCATGTATATTTGTCAAAACTAAAAAAACCAACATTGGTATATTACTATTAATTACATTCCAGATTTTATTTGAATTTTACCTTTTTTTTTTATTAATCTATTTCTGGATCTAAAGTACCACATTTTACTGGTTGTTGTATCTTCCTGATCTCCTCTGATATGTGACAGTTTTTTGATCCTTTTCTTGCTTTTGATGACTTAAACAATCTTCAGGAGTACTGGCCAGGTATCCACTAGAATATCCTCCCCCCATCCAGGATTTGGCAGTGGTTTTTCTTGTGATTGGACTGGGGTTATGGGTTTTTGCAAAGAGCACCATAGAGGAAACGTGTCTTTTTCATCACTTCCTCTTCCTGTGAGGAGTACATGATATCCATATGATGTCACTGGTAATGTTAGCCTTCTTCACTTGGTTAAGGTAGGATTTGCCCAGATTTCACCAATGTAGTTAGTATTTCTCCTTTAAACTATAAACCAAGTTTTACTAAGGGTAGCTCATCCTCAGAGTAGGCCTGTGGAAATTAAGCTCCTATTGTTGGGGGTGAGTATCTGTACATATTTGGAATTCTATAAGAAAGATTTGTTTCTTTCTATTTGTTTATATTCATATGTATTTGTGAATATTTTATACTTGCTATTTATTTTGTTGTTCAATTTGTTGTCCAGCTTTGGTCATTGGGAGTTTTTTCATATTGACTCCTTTGTCCTTTGACATGCCTCCATTCTCCAATAAAAGGGAAAGTAGATGATGAAGAGAAGGAGGGAAGAATTGTTGGAGAGGTATCAGATAGAGGAGGGGAATGGGATCTAGCTAGAGCCATGGTTGGGGGTAGGGGAACTTCAATCTTAAATAGGAGCCTTGACAGTTAATTACAGTGTCAGAAGGGTTCAGTTCAGATTGCATTAAAGCCAAGTTTGTAATCATTGAGAGTGACCAGTAAATATCTTATGGGCTTTTTTTCCCAGCTACATTTAACTACACAGGAAGTTTATATAAGGGTACTGGGTGTTGTAACATTATACATAGATACAAAAGATAAACATGTAGTAAGTTATAATTCACAAATGTCTGACAAAATTAAGGCTACCGGGATAAGAAAATACAATAACTAGGCAAATTGCTAAATACCTAAATGATTAAAAAGATTTTGAGGAAAGCTATACAACTTTATTCAAGGAAATAAAAATACCTGGATTCAAAACTAAAAATACATAGGATAACCCCTTCCCTTAACCATGATTTAGTGGGGGAAAGCTAGTCTCTCAATATCTGGAAGATTGGTTCCAGGACCCTATGGATACCAAAATTGGAGGATGCTCAAGTGCCTTATATAAAATGGCATAGTATTTGCATATAACCTATGCATGTCCTCCCATATATATTTTAAATCATCTTTAGATTACTTATAATACCTCATACAGTGCCTACACATAACTTCATTCACATGGGTTCAATGTAGTATTCAACACAGCAAATTCAAGTTTTGCTTTTTGGAACTTTGGAATTTTTCCCCTGAATATTTTCAATCCATGTTTGAATCCATGAATATGGAACCCATGGATAACAAGGGCCTACTGTTCTCAAGTTAGAGATAGTGTTTGATAAAATGGGAATAACCAGTTTTGTGCCTGAATAAAGAGGCAAACTGTTAAGGAATTGACTTGGCAGTCTTGAAGGGCAAGTAAGGTGAGCTGAGGTTATTCTCTTGCAGAAATTCTGACGATTTGATAATGTTTTAAGGGAAACAAAAATATTGTGTCTGGGGGAAATCTTGGAGAAAGAGAAGGAACTTTCTAATAATGCTGTCAATTTTATTGGACCGCATTAAACACTGAAAACAGTGATAATTTAAAGACCTTAGTGTGGAACTCAGAACAAATTGATTTTTGCACTTACCTTAAAATGAAATATCTGTGGCCTGTTATCAGTGAGGTTATTAGGTTGCTGAGTACCTGCAACCTAAATGTGATATGAAGTTAAGTTTGCTTTAATGGATATGATTCAGTGGTAGAGTTCACAGTGATACTGGATTTCTATCTATTCTGCTGGAGTCAAAATGTCTGATTTATATTTTTACTTTATGGTGGTTATATGACTCTGGGGATGTTCCTTCTTCCTAAATTATTATACCTATAAAGTGAAAATAATAGAGTCTGCCTTGTAGGAATGAAATGAAGTTCCATAAATGATTACAGTAGTCTCTGGCACATAGGTATATAGCAAATATTGGCAGTTATTTTTACCTCCTGCCTGTCTTCATACATACATATTCATTCTCAGATGGCTGTTTCCTACTCATTTCTAGAACACCAAATCCATATATCTAGCTGCCTTCTTTGTATCTTCCTTTAAATGTCAGGCAAATCACCATATTTAAATTCATCTTAAATCCTCTGTTCACCAAAACCAGTATCACATATTTCACATTAATAAACAGCATTATTAATAACATGGGAATCTTAAATTTCCTTTTTTCCTTTCCACTCCAAAGTCTGATTTACCTAGAATTGAGAGTTCTACCTCCATTATTAACTGTTCCATTATTAACACTACCAACTGCTTTGATTTATAGGCTAGGTTATTGCAGTTGCCTGCTAAATGGCCATCTGGCATATAGTAGGTTTTTGTAGTATTTGCTGAATGACTTTGTTTCACCAAGCATTAATGCTTTCATCACTCTGATGCCAGAATGCTCTTACTAACAAACAACTCTATTCATGTCATTTATTTGCTTAAAACCTTTCAGTGCCTTCCCATAGCTTTCAGAATTAAACCAAAATCCTTTTACACATAATTAAAAGTTCATGATTTTTTTTTTTTTGCACTCGCACTAACCCCAGCCCCCAATTTCAGCTCCACAGGAACAACAGAACCTATATACTAGCAATGTTAACCATGCTGATCTAGTATATATTAATAGATTTTCATCTTTGTATAAGTTTTTGATACCTGTAATGCCCTACACACACCCCACTGCTATTCCTTTCTCATTCAGTCTTCATGACTCAATTCAGAACACTAGGATGAGTGTTCCGCTTGAGTTTCCGCAGGTATTAGGTGAAAATCCTGAAAGGGTTTGTCTTTACCGAGCATCCATAACCCTTAACATAGTCTTTGTCATTATAGAGCAAACACTCTGTATTTGATGAAGGAGTCAGTTAATATCTGTTATATTTAAGAGACTTTGATCGGTTGTATTGTTTCCCCATTACTGATACAGAATAAATGCTTATTTTTACGGAAAAACATTCTTTGATTGCTAAAGGTGTTTTTATTCTGAATATATCTTTGCAAAATCATCCTGGAAACTAGTCATTAAACCTAAGTGTTGAGAAAGCATTTTTTCTCGTTAGTCTAATAAGGCCATTTCTTCACAAGCTGAAAAAAGTTTGAAGTTACCAGTTCAGCTATACTTCAGTGGAAGATAAAGTTTCATGCAAGTAAACTGTTCATTGTCCTCCATTTTCTGTTTACATTATGCCAACTGATATTTTATTACAGACAACTAAGATAGGTTGAGAAACAAAGGCAGCCTCACTATATCACCAATGATGGAAGCATTAAAAATTACTACACTGGAAGTAAGACTTGTGGTCAATTATTGGCTTTATTCCTAACATGCCACATGATCCTTTGCAAAAATATTAACCCAAGGAACTTTGAATTGGCAAATTGATTTACTGTTAAGTGTATGATTGATGACCCTTGAAATAAGTGCAGTGGTTTGCATCATTTTTGAAATAAGCAAATTTTTATAAAAAGCAATTTGGCCTGTTAATAGCGTTCAAATTGGCTTGGTATATGTTAAAATAACTGTCTTATAATTAGTTATTTAGAACAATGGGCATATTTACTAGATAATAACCAAATTTAACAAGTATCTTTGCAAATCTTTAAAAGGTTTAATAGAAAGTAACACAAAATACATTACTGCTTGATAACTAGAGCAATAAAGT